AACAGAGATCATAATACCCACCTCCTCTTGAGAGGGGCCAGTGAAGTAGCTGCGAAGACACTAAGCCCATCTTGGTCACTTCACTAAAAAAATGACTTTGAGTACTAAGTGCTTTATGTGCTTCATTTAATCCTCACAACCCTACAAAATGGGGAAACTGAGGCACTGAGAGGTTCTGTAACTTGTCCAAGGTCTCATAGCCAGTAAAATGGCAGAGGTGGGACTATGGGATTAGAGTAAGTTTCGGTATCTTCCTTCCTTAGGGAGTCAACACTCCAACTTCTTGGATGGGAGGTAAGTGGAGCGGCGACCGGAGAGGCAGGGTGGTGGTGTAGGGGGGATGTCTGAGGTCGCATGCTTTCTTGGGGGTCTTCAGCTCCCTCCCTCACTGTTTTGCGTAGGAAGGGGGCAGATGAGTGAAGCTGGAACTAAGGAGTCTGAGTCCTAGGAGAGGGGTCAGGAAGGGAGGACCCCAGGCAGGGCCTGAGGGTTCTGTCTAGAATTATAGGTGTCTTGGAGAATGGGAGGTCAGAGGAGAATCCCTTGGTGGGGAGGGTTCTTTATGATTTCAGTTCCTTTTTCTCTTGTCCACATTCCATTTGAGTAAATAAATACCCAGCAAATAGGTCCTGTGTGAACTCTATGGGGAGGCAAGTTAGAAGGGCAGAGGGAAGGAGGCCGGTTGCAGAAAGAGGGGAAGAAGAGAGACTGAAGATAGCGGAGGAGGGGATAGTTGCAGGGCTAGGTTCCCGGAGGGGAGAGGGCTGGTGCTAGAAGAGCGCCCCGCCCCACCAAGGTTCAGCCCCTTCCGCAGGCAGCTCTGCGCCGGGGTCTGGAAACTTGACCACAAAGACACTATACATGGCAGTGCCCCCGTCCCCTTATCCCTCAGCCTGTCCTCACATAACAAACCTGCATCCTCCCTCTTGGTTCCAACCATCAAACGGCCTTCATATATGTTAATCATTTATTCAATAAACATTTATCAAGCATCCTCAGGCTCCAGGCAGTGGGCGAGGCACTGGGGAAGAAGAGATGAACGGAACCCTGTGAGAAGCCAGAGAAGCACGGCATTGACAAGCGTGGTTGAGGGCTGTGACAGAGGCAAACACAGGCTGCTGTGGAACTCAAGGGTGTCCCTACCTGCCTGGGAGAGGCCCCTGAAAGCGGACATGGGAGTTGAATTTTGAAGGATAAAATGCATTGGTCAGGTGGAGGGAAGAAGGGTGTTCTAGGCAGACAGACCAGATGAGTAGTTTCGTATGGCTGAGAGGCCTTAAGCAGACTGGTTAAGAGCATAGGCGCTGGTGCTTGAACTCTGGTCATACCAGTTGTCTGTCACTCAGTGTTCCCCTCTACAAAATGGGCATAAACACGGCACCTCCCTCAGAGGACTGTCATGAGGATTACATAAATAAGCATAAGTCCTTAAAAACGCCTAGCACATAATAACTGCTCTGTATCCGTTGGCTGTTGCTATGGTTGCAGCTTAGGCTTTGTGGAGGGTTGGTGTGTACGCATGTGTGTATGGTTAACGGCCAGGCTGGGCAGGTAGGCAGGGGCCACGTTATGAAGACTCTTCTAAGTCATACTAAGGACTTTGAGAGGGAGATAATGGGGAGCCAGTGAAAGCTTTATTCCCTACTCACTCAGTGTAATCTAAGGCTCATCTTTCCCTCATGACATTCTCCAGTCACAATGTTGTGCCACCATCATCACTAATTCCAGAACATTCTCATCACCCCAAAAAGAAACCCATAGCTGTAACACTCACCCCCTCCCCCAACCACTAATTCACTTCGTCTCTATGGATTTGCCTATTCCGGACATTTCAGAGAATGGAGTCATACAATACGTGGCCTTTTGTGTCTGGCTTTGCCATGAATTCTTAATGAATCCCCACAACAGTCTTCAAGGAGAAATGTTCCCAACTTGTGTCTTTGGATTCAGTTTTCCTTTACCACTGGCCCAAGGAATTGACAATCTCCAAACTGCTAAGAGACCTCCTCACTATGGCGGTACCTGTGCAACAGGAATACAAAGTATGGGGGTGGGGTGAACCGGCGCTGACTTGCAAAGTTCTCCGGCACAACCACGCTTGCTTGGTGTACACTGGTTTTTGATGAACAACAAAACCAACACTCAGCAAACATTACTTAAAAGTACTTTTTTTTTTTTTTATTTAACTTTAATTTCTGAGGTAAAATACTTTTTTCTTTCAACTTCCATAACAAAATACAGAGCTATCAGATACCCCTGGAAAAAATATGTATATTATACATATATTTCTATAACATTACACCATATATATATAATATATATATGCAAAAATTTGAAGACTTTATAGAAAGTAGAACATCTAAAAGGCACTGCACAATGGAGTTAAGATTACTTACATTTTATGTACATATACACACTTTATTCTGCTTAAGCAGATAACTAATGAAGTCATCTCTCGCGCGTGAATGTCTCACTCACAAATCCCTGCATCACAATTTTATAACTCACAGAATGCCTAAATATTTCAAAACAAATTAAGTGGTAACTCCCCCACCCCAATAAGCCAAAAATGGAACAGTTCTTGAAAGAGTAGATCATAGTTTTTTTCTTTTAAACACAACAAAAACGTATGTTCCATCACTGTTTACAAGACAAAAAGCACAAACATAATTATGGAATAAATAAGAAACAAGAGACAAACAGCCAACTGACTCCACCTATTTGGTGAGAAGTGACAGACTTCAACTATTTTTTTTAATGCTTCTGCAAGTTTCTTGGCCCATGGAGGACTAGCGGTGCAGCAATTCCCTGTATTAGCGAGTTGCGTTTAATGCGAGGCAGCTTAGAAACTGGGGCAAAAGAACACGATGAACTGTTTATATTTCACTATTCTTTTTTTTAAAAAGGGGGGCGAGCTCAGCAAAGCTGGATGCCCTGAAGAGATGTCTACTTCTTTTCCCCTATAGCTAAAAAAGCCAACTGTTTGCACGAACAAGTTCTTGGTTAGTAAAACTTCAACAGATTTTTTTATATGCAAGGTTTTAAATATTTGGCACAGCAACATTTGGAAAAAATAGGGGAGAGAAAGTAGGTCAGGGTTTGTGCCCCTTTTCCCCCACCTGCTGTTGGACAGGTGCGGCCAGGAGTGGCATGGGGGAGAGAGACTACCTCCCACCTCTCTCCCCAGGAAACAGCACCACCGGCCGTCCCCTGGTCCACTTTCTGACCAAGCACAGCTCGGCCCTGGGTAAGCACCGCCCCCGCCCCAGCGTGCAGTGCCAACCAACAATTTACCGGTGGAATGGCAATCAAAAGAAACAGTTAAACACCAAATGAGAAATAAGCCAAAACACATTTTTTATGGAGTTGAACATTTTTCGAGTGTTTTTTTTTTTTTCAAGTGTAAAAACTTTTTGTTCAAACAGAAGCAGCATCTAGGAAGTAATTCTGGCACTTGGGTTCTAGGGGGTTGCAGGTACGCATTGTGGATTTTTCTCCCTCTCTTAAAGGCCTCATGTTTCTATTCCTGAGTTCATACACCTGCTGGCCCTCCCCTCTAGGGAACAGAGGGTGGCCAGCGAGCCTCCCTGGTTAGATCGGGCAATGCCAAGCAGAGATTCCTCCTCCACCTGCCTGGGCTTGCTTTCTGATTCAGAGGTAACTCAAGGTGCAGAGAAAGAAACTGACAAAAAACATAACCACCAAAGGCACCCTGAAAGCCTGAGTTGCTAGGGACCACTCTCCCAATCTCTCTTCTGAGGAAAGACCAGTCACTGGTGGAATCCGAATCAAACAAGGGGGAGGACACTTCCAAGAAATGGCCTAATGGATGTACGCCATCCCGAGCCATCTAATGACTCATTCACCTGCTCTTACCTCTCCTTAGCCTCTCTCTCATGCATACAGTCCAGTTTACAAAGAAAACACCACCCTGCACCATTAAAAGACAACCTTCAAATACATCTTCGTATGTAGTTTATTTAGGCTAAGGTAGTGTCAGGAATTTCTCCAATTCCTACACACCATACCTGTACCCATCCCTTGCCCCCATCAAATGAGTCATTTTTTCTCTCTGCTGTTGGGCCAGTTTGAGCCACAGTCAGTATTTACATATAACACACACACGCACGCACACACACAGCTGGCTGCTCTTTTTCTATGCCCCTAGCTCAGGCCCTTCTTGCTTCATGAAGGATCAGTACTTTCCCATTCCTCTGAAGTTGCTGGAAGGGAATTCCCCATGAAGAAACAATTCCTCACTGTCTGTAATCTGTAGTCTCATGTAGAATAGTCAACTGATCATGAGAAGCAGATGTAGGGAAATGGGTGTTGCAAGAATGGCAACACGACAGGACAGACACCAACTCTTTTGTTCACATTGGGCCTTTCCGCATCTGGCTGTCTTCGTGTTTCCTGTCCACCTCTTCCTTCACTACCTGGACCCCCAGCTCCCTTCTGCGCTTTCGGGCATCTTCTGCCCTTTAACTCCCTTTCTGCTACCCATCCCGGTAATATCAAGAGGGGACGACCGACTGCCAGCTAGGAATTTAACCATGTCTCCACATTCCTGGGTTATCTGACAAGTTGTCCATGCCCTTTTACAGGTTTATGTTGACAGACCCGTATCATGTTAAAGTATGTTCAGAGTTAAGGCTTGACTTAGGAGAATGATAAGAGAACCAGACATAATGGAAAGACATTTTCAACAACGTTGCCATGCCTCTCAGTGAGCTCGCTCACAGTCACACTTTGGTTTGGCTCCCCAAACCCACAATGGAAAAGAAAAAACTGAAGGTCATTTTTTGTTCTGTTTTGTTTGTTTAAAGGCATAGGGTTACTTCCTCCTGCCCTCTTCTTTCTTCCCTGAAAAAGAGTTTACAACTCCTCATGGCTTCTTTAACAGGTGAAGTAGGTGAAAAGTCCGTGAAGCTCACGGCAGCTGAGAGATGCACAGCTCCTGTGCCTTCCTAGGCCCACTCTAACCGGCGATACATGTCAAGTTTCCTGAAAAATTTTTTTTTTTTTTTTAAAGGAAAAGAAAAAATGACAACCAACAACAACAAAGGAAAAAGAGAAAAAGCAACATTTGAACAACCTCTTCCTACCCCCAAGTAAGACTGAGAGATTATCTTATTCCTCCCCTGAAACAAAACATTTCTGACAACATACTTATTAACGGTCTCTCACGGCTCACCCTCCCCACCATGCCCTCCTCCCTTTTATGTATGTCTCTGAGAGCAAAAAGAGAAAAAATAAATTCATCAATGGCTTTCCGCATATAAATAGAAAAGACAGATGTCTGGAACCTGAACTATCACGGGACCAAAAAGTATCTTGGCCCTTTAGGAGTTTCCTTGTCCTACAGTGTAGGCCTCCACAGGAAATGGAGGCCCCTCCTCCTTGCAGTTCAATACCCTCCTCATGTCCTACTAACCAGGAAGAAAGTGTTCATTTCCCACCTAATTTACAACAGAAGATACCCCCGTCCCATCCCCAAACATAAAAATACAAGTCTATGCCCCTAGAATGATCAAACCAGTCTAAGCCCCTCCCTCCCTCCCACCCGCCACCCTGAAATCTTGCTACATAAATACATGTATGTATTTGATTATAGTATAAACAGCTTCCAATCCACTTCCAGTTCTAGGCATCGGCAGCTGCTGCTGCCAGGCCCCGGGGTCCTGACCCGTTCCAGAGGAACTTGCCATTCTTACTCAGCTCTCGGGCTTCCGGGCCATCATTCCAGCGCCGCTTCAATCGGAGCTTGGGGGGCATCACAGCATCTTCCTTCTTCTCAGACGCACTGGGCTCTCTGCCAGGCCTGTCCTCCCCGTCTTCAGTCACCTCCAGGGGTTCTTCACTTGGGGCGCTACTGGGTACAGAGGGCCAGACAGGTGGTGTGGCTGGGCGGGCAAAGATGGTGCCTTTCCCCTCTTCCGTGGTCCTGCCCGGCACAGTACCCTCTTCTTGAGCGAGCTCCTCCTTCTCTCGGACAGACTGCCTGAGGCTCTCGGGATCCTTCTCAGAGGCAAGCTCCACCTTAATTCTTGGGGGGACAGGGGCCGCGGTGGGAGCACTGACAGGTGCTGACTCTTCACTGCTCTCAACCCTCTCCCGGTTCCTCCGCCCAGCTGGTGGGGGCTGCAGCTTGATAGAAAACTGGGCTGACTCCTCAGGATGCATTTTGCACTGCAGGGGTGGAACCATGAGCCCTGGGTAACGGGGAAAAGTCCGGGGACTCAGGTGGTAGTTGAACACAGAACAGGCTTGCGAATGAAGGTAGTGTTTCATTTCCTCAGGGTTGAAGGAGAAGCAGCTGCTGCTGGTGAAGGGGCTCAGGCCTGGTGAGGGACTATAGGAGAAAAGAGTGGGAGTCAGAGACAGGGCTGGTGAAATGGGGACATTAAGGACACCTCCACGGCCGGGGACTGGAGAGACAGCAAAGGGGCTGTGGGGGTCAGGGTACATCCCTGGCCTAGTGAACAGAGGAAGCATTATGTCAGGCTTGCGTTTCTGATGGCCCATCCCTCCTCCACCGACAGCATTCCGGGAGGACATGAGATCCACGCCCCGGCGCCAGTCAGCGGCCGAGCCGTCCTCCAGCTCCGAAAGCTCCGCCTTTCTGTCAGTGCCATCGCTCAAAGACTCCTGGCCAGAAGTGGTTAGGGAGCTGGCAGAGAACCGCCCTGGCTGCATGTCACTGGTTGGCGAATGGGCGTCCAGAGGTGGGAAGTGGAAGCGGGAGGAAGCTGTTGGCACTGGTGGCGCGCTCTGCGGAACCACACCTGTGATGGTGGAGAGGACAAAAGGCTGCGTCAGACGTCTGCCATCCGCTCTCACCATCTCTCCTTATGCTAAGCAAGTGGAAAATGTTCACAAGCAATAGGAAACAAGCATTCCAGCGGGAATGAACCCCCCAATTCTCTATCTTCCTCTATTCAGTTTAGTGGCTGTGTTTCTTTAGCCTCTCATTCCCTTTCCTGTCTTCATAGTACTCCTAGCTACTTGTTTCTTTACAGTCTAAGACAGAAATTCCATGAAGGCAGGGACTTTCTCTTGTTTACAGCTGTGTTCCTGGCAGTTCGGGGCTTAACCATTACTAGGTGCTCAATAAATACTAGTTGAATGAATGAACAGGTAAAAGAGCCTTCTCCTTTTTAACTCTAAATATTCAACTTGTTCTGCAATTTTCAGCTTTGCAAACAGACTTTTCTTGTTTTCATAATTTTGGCTGTTTCTATAAAGCAAGCAAACAAAACTAGAAATAACATGTATAGAAAGCAATGCACTAAAACACCCAAAGAGCTTGCATCTCATATACATAAACATGAACAAGACCATATTTTAATAAAAACAGATTTAAAAAAAAACAGCCATAATGTTTGTGAAGGTAAGACCTTACGGCATATCTTTTATCATTTCTGATATACAATCATTATTTCACAGAGATTCCAACTGAAAATATTTTTCACTCTCTCCAAATTGATATTCCTCTAACGAATTCTACATAATGATTTCCATTCCCATCCCGCTTTCAAGCACTGAAGAGGCTGAGAGGAAATCCAGGACCCACCACTCCCTCGCCCAAACTTGCTTGCTAAAATTTGAAGCTGTGAGTGGAAACCAACAGCGCGCTAAGCGTGTCAACTTCAGAGGCTCACAAGTTCTTAACTCTCCCAAAAGGTCCTTCTGATAAAGAAGGCATGAGAAAGGTATGCCATCTGAGGCCTCGGGGATCCTGAGAGGTGGGGGTGGCTTCTATCACTGACACTCTGAGACAGAGTTAAGGGAGAAGAAAAAAAGGGAAAATAGGAAAAAACCAAAACAAGTCAAAGTTACGGAAATGCAGGAGAGGAAACAACAAAAGGAGATGCGTATGATATAGTGCGGTTAGGGACCGCGCCCCTCAGCTGCTTTCTTCTATTCTTGGTATAATGGAGTCACCCTCAGATAGGACCCTGGAATTGCCTGGTATGTGCAAGACTGTAACTTTCTAGGCACGTGTGACTGAGTAACATTGTGCCAGGGCAGCATTTTCCAAACTGGTGTTCCACAGAAATCTGTTCTGCACGACTTCAACAAAATTTTTTAAAGCCACGTAAGAGTTACTGGCTTAAATCTTACAATTAGGAAATACAAATGAAGGACCTCCTATATGATCTGAGCAGAGGTTCTCAAGCCAAATATTTCTTCTACCAGCCTATTACAGTGGCCGAAATTCTACTTTTTGATCTTGACTTTGTACTCAGAGTACATCTAGTCAAAAGCAAAAAACAAAAGCAAAAACAAAAAACTTCTATGTGTTCTGAAGGAATGAATAAGTATAATGTGTGTGTGTTGGGGGGGAGGATCCTGTATCCTAAACAACTTAGAAATGCTTGAATTTTTTTTTTTTGGAGTGGAGGACTTCAGTTTTTACATATGCTAAAGTATACTGTAAATCTGCAAGGCAGAGATCTAATACAAAGAATTTCCCAAGTGTATTTAGGGGGAACAAAGGCGAGATGCAGGAGCAATGTGGGAGAGGCAGCATTCTAGTCCCCTCACCTCTAATTAACTGGAGTAGCCCTACTTTTATTTCCTGAGATATCAAATCAAAGATTTTCTTTGGGGGAAAAAATTATTGCTGCCAAAATTGTCTGAATACCACTGCTTTGGAAGAACACCACCTCCCTGGAGCTACTATGGAATCTGAGTAGTTAGAAAATCTAGGTTTGAATCTCAGTTCTGGTACTTTCTATCTTGCGGCCCGGTATAAGCCACTAAGTGGAGTCTTTACCCCCTCTGGCAAAATGGAAAAAAATAATGGCTTTGTTTATGTTCAAACCCTGGCCCCAACACTTACTCCCTGTGGGACTCTGGACAACTACTTACCAGATGTGCCTCTGTTGCCTTACCTGCAAAATGGAGATAATAACAGGACCAATCCTCACATTATGAGGATTAAAGGGGTTTTACAATAGTAATTGGCACATAGCAAATTATATGTATTTGTTAAAATAAATGAATATTTTAGTAAATAATAATCATGGCTCAAAAATAAAAATTCACAAGAGCATACGTCATTTGAATATGGACTATACATTAGACAATACAGAGCGATGTTAAACTTCCTGGGTGTGCTGATGGTGCTGTGGCTACGGAGGAGCATGGCCTGTTTCTGGGGGATACACGCTGCAGGACACTGGGACAAAGCGCCACCTGTCTGCAACTTAATCTCAAAGGATTTAGAAAGTATATACAAGTAGAAGGAGATAAAGCAATATGGCAAAACTGTTAATGATCAGCGAATCTAGGAAGGATATTTAGATAGTCACTGTTCCATCTTTTCCAATTCTTCTGTAGGTTTAAAGCTTTTTAAAAAGATAAACAAAATTAACAAAAAACCCAGGTGGGGGGTCGGAGTGGGGAGTCACAGAACAAGAGGTCGCAAGCCCATCCTTGAACTGCTCTGTCCTGCCTCCATCCCGACAGGTAACTGTTTTCACTAGTGTCATCTACAGCTTTCTGATGTTTCTTATGCAAAACGATATTAAAATACATTTAATAACGTGTTTTATAGGATACCTTTGATAGCTATAATGAGGTACTGTAAGTAGAAGCACTTTCAACACTATCCAAATGTCTATCCTATACAGTTAACAGTGAGCAGGATTAGAGGGGAAGGGAAAAGAACGTCCGCTTTACTTTTTACTTTATAAACGTCTGTACTCTTTGGATATGTTACAATCAGCATGTATTACTTTCCTTTTTAAAAGAAAAAGGCCAAAACAGTGCAACTGTATCAATCTAGACATGATCCTCTGGCCTCCAGGACCTAAAACTACACTGCTCTACTTCTTAGTGTTTAACATATCCCCTGTCGTACCAAACCAGGAATACCTAATCTCTGCCGCTAAACTGTAAGTTTCTTGAGGGAAAGAATTCTGTAACTTTTTTTTGTCTCTAGGGCTTAACACATTATCTATTGTACAAATGAAGTACCCCCAGTCCCCTGGAGGATAGTAACATCTATTTAATACAAGCTAGATTTCAACAGCTGAATCTACCAGGAATTGTTGCATAAGAAACTGTTCAATAGATAAGTATATTCAACCCACCCTGATCCATCTTTTACTTTGCTGTCCTCCATTCTTAATCTTCTTATTTGTAAAATGTGGATATCAACACACACACTTTTACAGGGCTGGGAGGCTAAAAGATAACTCACAAAAACACTAAGCAGAAGTTGAGTAAATGTTACCTTCTTTCGTCTTCATAAAAGTTAACCTAAAACAACTGGCCTCTCTGGGCAAAAGTTCTCTATAAAACTAGTAACTCCAGCTCTTCAGCGTTATCTGCATCCGGGATGCAAACAACCAAGGAGTATGTCCAAAACAAATGTAAACTGTTTTGCTTTCCCTGGGACTTTCTGATTAACATTTGCAGCTTAGTTAAGGAGCAACGTTGGTTCAACCGTCTTCAGGCAGAATAGGTTGCATAGGCCACTACTGTTAAATTTCCACATTGGGAGTCTTCACAGAGTAAGGATCCAGATTTCACTGCCCTTGAAAATCCCATTTCTCCCAAGGGCTGATGGATGTCCCATTCTGGGTTGCCCAAGCGGCTGGACTTCCAGGTTTTGACAGGCAAAAATGGCTCAAAGACAGGAGAACAAGACCAACGACACCCTTTTGTTGGGATGTGGGGGTGTGTGGGGTGTACAGAACACCAACACGTTCTTCAGAATTGCTCCCACAGCAATCTAGAATCCCAATCACTCTCCCAGGTGCACAGGGAGGGTGTAAGAGTGAGAAATAGAGGAAACAAGATTCCAGTGACTAGAACAGGTTTGATTTCCTAATGCCTTTCCCCCAGGCATAAGGAAAGAAAACAGGTTGTAATTAGAGAGATGCATTCCAATACCACTTTTTTTTTTAAATGCATGCCCCAGGGACAGGAGGGCGTGGCTTCAGAAGATGGAACTGTAATGATAGCAGAGTCCAGCGAAAACTGCCCTAACTTGTTGTGTGCAGTAATTACATATCTGCAGTGGATCTCAGCATTATGTTCTCTCAGCCACACCCCCGCTCTAATTTTTCAGGTTTCTTTCCATTTTTCTCTGAGAAGTTGTATTACTGCAGAATCAGGATTGGCTTTTTTCGCTTAACATACAATGTAACCAAGGCACAGTACTGACAAGACTGGTCAGACAATAGTTAAATATAACCCATTTTCTTGGGCAGGGGTACCATTCGCATTGAAAAAGAAAACAAAGAGCCTTATGAGATTGCCTTCTGCACCGAGAGAGGCAGACATAAAACCTGCGAGGAACTGTGATGGAAAGCTGTAACCCAGAGAGCCTAGGGGGGAAGCCCTGCTGTACTCGGGGGAGAGGTCAAGTCACCCCACAGCCTTGTTCTCTGAGGAGTTGTTGGTGCAGATCAAAGACACTGCTTGTCACTGCAAACATGTGAACCTCCCCTTCTCTGATCAAGGATGCTGTGGTTTAGATGATATTCACTTGATAAGGGAGAGCTGGTAGCTTCATAGAAAATCGGAAGTGTTTGTAGAAACACGTTCCCACGTATGAAAGAGTCACTGGGCAGGGTGTTAAAACTCTTTGAGTCCTGAACTTCGAGATCAACAGAGACCTATGGAACATCATTCTCAAAGGGGACAGTGTAACAATATCTAACAGATTATGAACAATATGCAGAAAAGGGAACCAAATAAACAAATAAAATCAGTTTATCTTGATCATGCATAGCTTATCAGTCCCTTTTATCAGATGAATGGGAAATTTGAGCAGAATATTGAGGTAATCCAGCGGGTCACACCGCTTTAGTGTTTCTAAAATCCTCTGAAACACGCTGTCTTAGACTTGGGTTTTTAAGGCTTTTTTTTTTCACTCACAACTCATTCCCCATCGAGAGAGTTTGCATCTTACCACTTGACCGAATGTTGATGAATGGGTAGTTGGGCATCACCAGCTTGCTGAAGTTAAATTTATAAGTAAACCTTTTGCCTTTTGTTTTATGAAGGATCCTCTTGTTGTAATAGTATCTGTAAAAAGAAGAACACATATTAATTCATCTTCTAGTTACTGACAGGTTTTAATACACATAGGTAACCCCTAAGACCAATAACTCTTGCTCTAAGTATTACTTAGAAACATCACTATTATTCTCTTGCAACCTGGCCCTCAGGTTAGGACTGGGAGATCTAACAGCTTGCTTTTCCCATTCAATTTTCAATTAAGTTTGGCTACAGTTTTACAAAGACAACCTCACTTTAAGAACGCGATCACCTATCCTAGCCCCAGTCACCTTTCTTCTCCATCTCTCTGCGATTTCAATTCTATAGTCCATTTCCTTCCTGTTCCCACTGCATGTCACCAACTGCCGAGTTTCTCTTTTCTGCCTTGCCCAGGTGGGGGCAGACAAGTCTCTTGGGAGACCTGATGTGGTTAGTCTTGAGGTTTAAACTCAAGGCAAAGACAAAGGAATGTAGAAGTGTTTTATGGTGGCAGGTCAAACAATAGTATACCCTGATCTGGAAAGTAACAGCCAGCCGGGCTTGCTTCACCTTCAGAGACTCAGAGCTGCAAAAAGCTCCAGCAAAGCTGCTGCACACACAGACTTTACACTCATGGTCACTAAGAATGAAGAAAGGCAAGAGAACGGCAAGGTAACTGGACTCTTTAACTTTCAGTAGTGAGGTCACAAACTGCTTTCTGGCCTCTAGGGGGCTATGGGCTTAGAAAATGTAAAGACCGACAAGGGGAAAAGAGAAACTGAGAAAGCTTACAGTGATTAACTGCTACATATATTGGAGGGTAACAACCAAGCAACCTACGGTCTGACGACTTGAGCTCAGATACAGTTCTGAATAGCTAGGTCACTGCCATTCACTGAGACAGTCGTCAGTACTCCTCCCGTGTGCCTTCCTGACCCTTTTTCTAGTTTCTTCCAGGGGAGGCTAAAGAAGAGAAATTTTAATAGAGTCCCAACATGGAGATCTAAACCAACCCTCTGGATTATTAATGAGCTCCAATCCATGTTCCACCATACACTCTCACCCACTACAGAGCAGAATCGGCTGTCTGTCAGGATCCAGTGCCAACCGTGTTGGAGATTCCTCCTACATACAACCAAAGGCATGCCTTTTCTTCTCCTGGGCCTGTGCTACTCAGATTCAACAGCTCCTCTACTCCCACTGAAAGCTACACATTATTCACTTAGTGTAGTCTCTTACCACCTGATACACTTTTTATCTAACATTCACCAAACCGTTTAGTCTCCTTCCAATCTGTTAACACCAGGAATTTGGGAATTCTTTCCCTTACCTGAGGGCCCGGCTCAGCTTGTCATAATTCATCTGTGGCTTGCACTTCCTGCGGCCCCAGAGGCGGGCCACCTCGTCTGGGTCCTTGATGACAAATTCCCCGTACTCTCCCTGCTGCCAGGCAATGACATGGCGGAACTCCTCTTTCTGCAGCAGCTCAAGGATGAAGTGCCACAGCTGGATCTGCCGGGAGCCTGGGGACGACTCTGTTTTGTAGGCCCAGTCAGGAAACTGATATCCTTTAAGGTGAAAAGGGCACGATCAAGGTAGTCAGGAGCCAGGTACATACATACCAGTGTCCCTGTCTTCACATTGCACTGCTCAGAATCTCTAGATTGCTTTGCAAACATGCCATAAACACTCTTTCACTCAGCTGGGGCTAACCACAACAGGGGTGAGGAAAGCACAGAGAAGTCACCTATTCTTGTGGCAGCTGTTAAATCTGATAAGAGTTGGGCAGCAGCACCCAGGTATCCTATCTAATCTCTTACCTTTTCATGTATTACTGAATCCCACACCTACTTTCTCCAAGGGCATGAAAGTTCCAAAGGGAACAAACAGGAAAGGAAAACTAATGTTTCAGGAAAATAAAGCTGAACACCACTTATGCCAAAGATTATGGCTCTAACAGGAAAGAGACTCGAAAGTTTGGGACAAGGGTGTGGTGACCAGACATTAAATATATATCCATAGGAAACAAGCCTATAACTGTCTTAGCTGTAGCCACCCAGCCAAGAGGTTGTCAGTCACGGCACTTGTGAACAGGGCCTAAGTGGAGAGAACATGACCCGCTGAGGAACATTCTAGGCACAACAGAGATGATTAACTTCTGCTCACCTCCACCTCCTTCTGGCTTTTCCACGATGCTACAGCCTGCTTTCATTTTCACCCTCCTGCTGAGACACAAGCCATAACAATTACTGTAAGATGCTATTTATTATCCTCCCCAGGTTTTCTGGCACAGCCTATTCCCAACCTTCTTTTTTCCTATGTTTCCTTCCTTGTGCAACCCTCTCTCTTTCAAACATGTCACCTCCAAACTGCTAATCCCCAAATCATCAAATGATGGTCCTCAGATCATCAGCTTCAAAAGCCATAATTATCTCTCACCTGACTTTAAACCACGAACTGTAAACACTGTCTTTAATATTTGCTTTCTTCCTCTGGCCGGCCCTTCAAATGTAAAAAAGGAAGGCTACAGAGAAACGGGTCCAAAAAGGCAACCAAAACAAGTCAAACAGTTTGTCTTCTATTACTGGACAGGTCCAGATGCCAAGATACACACACCTGAGTTCACTCACATACACCAGTTTAAAAAAGGGTAAAAAAAAAAAAAATCCAAATCCATCTGATTCCCACTCAAGAATGAACATCTGATTTTGATTTTCTGATTTATGTGAAATGGGAGAAGAAAAACTCCTCCCAGTCAGAAACTGCTCCCTCCCCTTGAAAAATACCCTGGGATGCAGGAAGTAAACACACTGTATGTACAGTCACTTTATACTAGAAAACACCCCCCCCGAAAGTCTTTTTGAGAACAAAATTGACATTTTCTCCTTTTAACAAGAAGGAAAACAAAGCAGGTGTTTCAGAGAGTCTTCTGTCCAGAAAGTGGAGGGAGTCCTGATGCAATCTGAATTTATTCCATCCAGATTTACAGTTCCTCAATAAATTTACTGTCCCCAACAAAAAACAAGTTTGTGTCAGTCAACTCTTTAACAAACAGGAGGGGGGGGGGACGGGACAGGAGATGGCAGATCTACTCATAGTTCCACAGGATGGGTGCTAGGCCCTCAGCACCCATATTAGCAGGAGTCTGGAGGGAATGTAATAGGTGCCTCAGGGGCCCCAGGGTGGGGTGGGGAAAAAAATCCTAATCTTGGAAATTTCACCTAACCTAGGATTCCTTTTGATCCTTTACATTTTTTTTCTCACATACACATTAAGGAGACCAGCAAGACCCAGTCTGGAAAAGCACAGGGGGAGGCGAGGACGAGATAAGTATCCCAAAGGAATGAAAAACACACACATACACACGATACACAATAACAAGGCAGGAGCTTCCTCTCCCGGCTGTTCCCATCTCAATGACAATGAAGGAGGAAAAACACCAATTTCCCCACCGCTCCAGGAAGCTGCTCTGGACTCTAACTCCTAGACTGCTGCTGGACCGCGGGGCCTTTACCTGCCACAGGAATGCCCTTAACCACCACGACTCTGGGGTCCAAATCCCACTACAACCATGACCTGCCCGGGAATCCTTCTCTTAACACGCCAGCTCCCCGATCTTCCCCACACAGGCCCCGGCTCCCAGGAACTCGGAGGAGCCTCAGCAAGCCTTTCAAAAACCCACTCTGACACTCGCTCCAAGTAGGCCTACTCGTCTTAACTCTGCCAACTCCAGTCCCGTTGCCCTGCCTTCCCCAGATCGCGACCATTCCCCGAAAAGTGAGACACGCACATTCTGGAGCGGCGGTCCCCCCGCTGCAGCTCCTGGGTCCAGCTTACGCTGGCCCCGGGGCCTCCTCTCCACTCGCCTCCCGGCCGGGCTTCCCTCGCTCCGTGGCCTCGGGGCTCCGCTGAGCCACCGCACGAACGCAGCTCTAGGTCCCCGTCGCCCCTCAGACAGGGGGCCCCCCTTCCTTCCCCCGCCCCCCGCGCTGGGTGAGGCCCGGCTGGCTGGGTACGCGGCCCGCGGGCGGCCCCGACCTCAGCGACGCTGTCCCCGCTGAGGTCCGCGGGGCTGGCCCGGAGGGGCCCGGCGGCGGCGGCGAGGCCGGGACTCACCGCTCCCCGGCACGGTCCGTCTTCGGTCCGGTCTCCTCCGCCGCGTCTCCGGCTCCTCCTCATCCACCCCAGCAGGAAGTGACCTCCTCGGCTGCTGTCGTCACTTCCATCCTCGGCGGAGAGGGCGGGGGAGGAGGCGGTGCCTTCCCGCGGGTCTCCCAGCCTCGCCGCGCTGCGCCGCACCCAGCCGCGTCTCCCTTTCCTTTCTCCTTTCCGCAGACGCCGACTTCCGCCCGCACTCCGCCCCTGCGCGCTCCGGCCGCCGCTCAGCCCGCGCACGCGCCCCGGCGCGGCGCGTGCGTCACGCTTTGGGGACACGTTACGCACGTTCGCCTCGGGCGGCCGGCCGCAGAATGGGGGTCGGCTGGAGCCGGCGGAGTGACGCAGTGCGAGGGGGCGCGGGCGGCCTCCGCGTGCGTTTTCCGCCAGCCCGGCACGGGCGAGGCGCGGGCGGCACGGCGTTGTGCGGCGGAGCTAGGTCTGGGGTGCGAGGCCCTGTGCAGGGAGCCCCAGCTGTCGCGGGAGGGGACCCCGCGTACCTCCTAGGAAAGGCCCAGGTGCCGGGATAAAGCCACATCCAGACCGCTGAGAGCAGACCCCCTTTCTCCAGAAAGGGACTCTGCGACCTCCCAGGGAGGAGGCCCCTCAATGGGAAGGGAGGGCCCGCAGACTTCAGAGAGAGTTCCCGACCCTTTAAGAAAGGGCACTTTCATTTACTGTGAAAAGAAGCTGGGAAGCTGTCAGAAGCGCATTGCGTTGGCGTTTCCCGCCGGTAAAAACTGGAGAATGTGACCACTTTTTCCCGATCCTTCTGTCTTTAATTTGTGCCCATGTAAGCTGTTTGCAAGTCTACTCCCTAAGTCATTCAGACACATCTCTCCTTTCTTCTCCCTCAGCCCCTTGTCCCTCCTCAAGCAATGACCAGTATTGTCTAAAGCATCTTTTTTCCTTCCTTTAAGACTGATTAATGAGAAAGGACCTCAAGCAGTTCAGCTTTATCTCCACCCCGACCCTCGTATTTCGGAGTAGTGTCCCGGTCGAGTTTCACTTCAGAGGCAGAAGAAAGGAGGGAGAAGTGGAGATCAGCAAAGGTTACATAAATTAGAATAAAGAATACGAGTGTGGAGGAGGTGCAGAAGACAGGATTGAAGAAGAATTGAAGAATTTGAGCAAATTTCGTTTTGGACCGTTGCTCTGATAACACCTTTCCATCCTGTCTACCTCTGAGAACGTGGAAACGTCACCGTTCAGTGTTAGGAAAGTTGAATCTGCAGTTTTGGATATGCTACTAGCCGTTCTCTAACTTGTTTATAAATTAACTAGTAAGTTGGTCCCCTCTGGACCTGAGGTTGCCTCACCTGTTTTAAAAAAGAAAGGATGCTAGCTTTGGTGATGTAAGGTCTTCTAGTTAGAAAATCCTACTACGTAGGTGAATGAAATAAGTAAAATTCAATCACAATAGAACTACCAACATCTGGAAGTAGACCGCAAGCTCTTTGTGTGTTGAAACTGTCTCTTTTGTATTTTCTGCCTAGTAACCAGAACGATGTCTTATATGTAAATTCTGATGTTTGGTGGTTCTCTTAAAATATTGGGGGTTAGTTAAATGATGAAAATTATAGTTAGGTCGTAATGCCTTCATCTACTAGAGATGTGACCTTGGTTAAGTTACTTAACCTTTCTGGGTCAGTTCCTCATCTGTAAAATGAAACCTAATACCTATAGTATCTACTAATGAGGTTGTTGTATTCAATGTGTTAATACATGTAGAGTGCTTAGAACAGACAATGGCACGTTGTAAATAGGACAGATCAATAAATGTTGGAAAAAATAATCATAAGAATTATTGTTATAGATCCTCACACCACCTATGCAAATCATAGTAATGTGTCAGCTCAGAAGCCAGTGTGTTCAGGAACGAGCAGCTTCTGAAAGGCTAAAATTATCATAGAACCAGCACGGTCACCTCCAAGGATCCTGTGTTCTACAAAGAGCCAGAAGTCAGAGAATGGGAACACTTGTGCATATTCTTACCCCAGACTCCTAGTGCTTCTCTGCTGCTGCTTCTCTGACTAATTAGGCTCACAAAGGATGACTTGAGTAAACAGCAGTGATAAATAGGTCTCTACCTGGCAAGAATCAGAAATGATATATTGAGAAATACCTATATCAACAGAATTCAACAGAATTTTACATTAGGGATCTTAATTACTGGCCTGAAACTCTACAGGTGAATTTGGGTTTGATGAAGCAAACTGAAAATTCTCTCACAATTAGTGGGTCCTGATAAATGAGCTTTGCGCTGGGAACGTCTCCTGTGGTGGTGGAAGCTGGGGAGACTGGGATGGCTGGGGACTTCTTGCCCAGTGGACCCAGGAGCTGATTACCCAGTAAGCAAAGTAAGCACGGGCTTACTTGTGCTTATTGACTAATCTGTAGTGAAATTGGTCACTACAGATTAGTAAGTAAGCACAAGTAAGCCCGTGCTTACCTTGCTTAGTGAGTAATGCGTCCCTGTCAGGGATAGTAAATTTGAAAAGAGACTTTGATTCTGTAGGAACGTGCTTTGGGGTTGGGAGAGAGACAGGTGCCAGCCATACCTAGAAGCAGAATCTTTGATGTGGGGAAAAAAATGTGAAATTGTTTACTGCCGATGATCTGGTAAGCAAGGTAAGCACGGTGCTCACCTTGCCTATTAGATAATCCTTTCCCGAGTGTACCCAAGGCCCTTATCCACGTCTCTGATCACAGCACTGCTGCCTTCTCCACCCGCTGGAAACAGCCTTCTACAACTTGGAGATTCTTCTCGTTCCCAAAATTGGGGAGATCATGAGCTTTCTTAAAACATGGGGGTAGAAACAATCAGACGCAGCCTAGGGGTCAAGACAGGTTGTAATCTCTCTTGGATTTCCACTTGCTCAAAGCCTTCTTCGTCCACTGATGCTGTCCCCTCTCACCCCCTCTGCCCATCTCTGTAATTGTTCCTTATCCTAGGATTAGTTTCTGTTCTAAATCTCACACCCTCACCTCTGCTCCCCCTGCAACACAGCTGCTCCACTGCTTCTTGAAAAGCGAGAGAGAGAGACGACCTCAAATTTTTTTTTGCTTTCAAAAACCCTTCTGGGATTGTGTGTGTGTGTGTGGATTGTGTGTGTGTGTTTCCTCCGTGGCTCTTCTTTACCGCTCTTGTTTTCACTTGTACAGTTACATTCTCCACACCCTAAAACGTATCCGCTCACGTATATGATATAAATGCTTCCTCTCTCCCCGTGCGGATTATTGTTCTTCTACCATCTGTATGTCACGTACATGTTTGTTCTGCCTAGTGTGTTTGTCTTAGATTGCGGGCCCTTAGAGATCAGAGCTGCAGTTGGTAGGTCCCCACAGTGCTCAGAGCAGTTCTGTGTCATTATTTGAAATGCCTAATGATGATGATTTCCTTCTCTGCTAACGTGGGCTGATGTGCTGCTAAGACTGGTTTCTTCCCCCTTCCCTCAGTCTCCTCTTAAGTCTCCCTGTAAAGGGCAGGTAGCCTCAAACTTTCTCCAAAGCCTGTTCTCACGGAACCAGATTCAGAAGACCTGAGTTTCTGCCCTTTGCTAACTATGTGCTCTCTGATAAGCTGCTAAGCATCTCTGAGTTCCAGCCTCCTCATCTGTAAAAGGGGGACACTGTCGGTGTCCTTGATGGGGACAGAGTGTAATAGTGGCAGCGGAGAGCACGTAAACTATGAAACCCTTTGCAGAGGTCAGGGATCATTATTATCCTTGTTACCATCCCAGATCTCACGCTGCTCTTGGTATCAAGAACTCAAACTTTATAGCTGTTATCACCTAACTTCACAAACTGAGTGGATTTAATGTTTCAAACTTGGGTAGGAATCTGATAAAGGAATTTTGCCCTGAGAATCAGGCTTCTTGAGCTTCTCATCTAGGCACTGTTTAAT